CGAGCCTGACTCCATCCCAGTTGTAACCCTTCGGAACAGGTTTTCCCGAGGGAAGTCTGGTGGGGTCATGCATAGGAGAGGAGGTTTAGCTTTTGAAGAGGAAGAAGCTTCGGCTCCACCCTTAGGTGGGCGCTTGTCTTCTTCTCGGCCACTATCGTCGCCTTCATCCCTAAGTTCTCTGCCAGCGGCGGCTTCATCAAGTAGGCGTTGGAATTCTTCACTAGACATCTTGCTTTGCAATTCCTCGGTCTCCCTAATGGGGGCCATGAGCTCTTCATAGAGCTCGGTTCCTTTGAGGTCTTCGAAAATGTCGATTGTTTCGGGTTGTTCCTGAGCAAAGCAATTCTGATCATCTAGTGTCGGGACGCGCCTTGCGTCATCAAAATCAAGTTGCTCCTGTTGGCATGGAAAAGTGAAGTCGCCTGGCAGGAGCTCCATACGCTTCACTCGGATTGTTTTAAACGTTCCGTTTTCGATGTTATCAAGGGCATCCTTGATGGGGGTAACAAAATACTCCCTTTCGAACACAAACCCTGACTGAATGTGATAACCGAGAAAAATACCTTCCTGGCCAGTGGGTGCAAACTTGGAGGCTTCCACAGCGTTTTGCTTAGGGTTATTCCAAAATAACACCTTAGCACCGAAAGGGATCTGAGGTCCATCGAAGATAACCCCAAAACGGCTCTCCCATAAGGAGGCGTCACAATCAACCCTTGAGTTTATATTCAATGCAATGCAATGGTGTTGGGCGGCCAAAGGCCACATCTTGTCAGGCAGCCCTGCCTGAGTAAGCGCCGCACGCGTACCTTCGAGCACAGTCCTGATCTCGCGTTCGATTACAGCCTTGTTTTCATCACAGTACTCTCGGGATGTATTGTGGCGGACGCCTAACTTTTTCACGGCATATTCAAGCTCTGGGGCGTTGTCGGAGTAGATTACGCCTATCTCATCATCAACCCCAGTGAAGTGCAAAAGGTTTTCATAGCATTGTTCACCTTCTTTGGTGGCATCAGGGTACACATACCTGAATTTGGTGCAAACATCCTTGACTACGAACCCCACCTTTTGGTCGTCAAAACCATGGTCCCTAAGATCCCTGGTGATGATATGATCAATCGTGAGGTGATCACCGTACTTGTCAGACTTGATAGTCGATGATCCCCCGAGCTTCCGCGCATGCGGTGCCATCATCTTGGCCCTTTGGCAAACGGGGCAATACGGGTTCTTAGGTCGATGAGTCATAAGATGTTGAACGCCTTTGGCTTCGGCTCTGAGTCTTTCTTCAGGGGTTTGAGGATCTGCTTCCCGGTCACTGTCCGGAATTTCTTCTTCGCTTTCAGGGCTGCGCTCGAAGATCGTGATTGACATCACGGTGTAAGCCTCTAGCTTTGCTGCCCTGACATCGAGCTCTTCGATGTTAATCTTATCCTCAATTTTGCTCCATTCACCATCCCCGAAAACCCATGTTGTACGAATGATCCTGCTAGGATGCTTGGGCGCCGGCGTTCGAAGCACTTTAGGTT